GCTGAAGATTAGCGAAGACTGGAGGTCTTTGACCACCGGTGCCTGAGGACGACCCTGCGTGTTAAATATAGCGAATTCATCTCGAATGAGACAGTCCGCACCCGCTGCGATCTTATCGCGAGAATATTTGAGGCCATTCAATAAAGGCGACTGAAGTGGTTTGGACAACTTCTCCGTCGTCCGCCCCACGTGCTTAGCTATGCTGCCCTCTACCCGGCACCGCAGCCCACCTGGAGGCGTCAAAGAGGAGGGCATTTGAAAACTTGGCTCTAAACCACCTGATCCCTGCTCGATCAGTACACGGCAGCTATAGTGATTTGTGTGTTAATCACCTGCGTCCTACCTCACCTCCGGTCTCCTTAACTCCACTGGGACACTTGACCTGGGCACGTTTGGGATAAGAGAGCGTGTTAGATGCAGCGCAAGTGTGCTATCATATAAAAGCAATCTCACGCGAAAATTATCACGCTCTCAGCCTGCTGAAGTAGGCGGTAGATATGGTTGAAGGCGACGGTCAAACTGTCGTGATGACGCGAAGGTTACATGCGTTTCTTTTGTGTTCGGTTTCCGACTCTGGGTGTGAATGCCGTCATCGTGAGTACCAAATGTGCACATTCAGACGGTCGGTTGAAAGTCTGATCCTCCTGTGGTCGTCAATTTTAGTTCATTACTTTTTCATTACTTAAAGCGAGGTAACCTGCTTGCTAGCCCTGCTAGCTAGAAATCCTGCAACGCGTGGTCTTGCACCTTATCAGTTAAATCACGTGTGCCCACATCCATTATGTGATGTTGGTGGTGCCGAGGCTACTGCAAGTTGGGCTATTAACCCGAAAAATGATTGAGTGTGATTCATCTATTAGCGCAACAAAAAACGAAGCCGCAAACTCTCCCGTCTCAGAGCATCAACAACTTTCAGTGGCAATTGCTGTAAGTCTGGTTTGCGGCAGTGTCATAAGTCATGTGTAGATTTGTGGGAGTTTGCACATCTCGCCAACTGCTCTAGTTTTGTCTGCCTCCGTAAGGCAAGCAAAGTAGCTGTTCTCGGGAGAAGATGTTCGGCTATCTAATCTTTTTGTCTTTTTTTCTCATTCATTTCTGCCGACACCTTGCTAGGAGCTGGTGTTAGAAAATCAAAACACATTCCGCCTATTGTTATGTAACCACTATCTTCTCTTCAGCTTCTGTGCCTCAAACTGTTGCAACGGTGACTTCAGTGGTGTCATCTTCTAATTACGCTCTTTGGAATCCCCAAGGAAAAACAATAAGGGCGTAACTTTAGAATCCACCCGGATGAGAGTTTATTGTATACAAAAGCCGAAATTTCTGTCTCGGGGGGCAGTTGCCGTTGGTTCATCTCCAGCGCGCTGTTGTCCCGTCACGGGCCTAGCTCGGCTTCGGGACCGGACTGGTGGTGTCCTCGCAGTCCGTGTGCAACTCACTGTCTGAGAGGTGACAGTGGATGCTAAGTGCTTGTCAAGCGCCTTCACCTGTGGCATCATTGGGCGCGTTTAGATAAGGTATCTACTGCGTGAGGCAACTAAGTGGCCCTTGAGGAACTGCGACCAGTTGGGCACGCGCAAAGCTCGCGTGCGTGTCTGTCGGTTAAGGTTTCCAGTCATCGCGTGGGCACAGCCACCGCGAAGACATATGACCTTGAAGGCAGTCCGCATTGACAAAGTAATCATTATAGCAGTCGGCGACAGGCACGACGCCTCAGGAGAGCCCGCAAGGTTGCTAGCTTTTGGTCAGGCTGCACGCCTAACACAAACATCTATAGTCATTCTTCTCCGTCTGTTCGTAATGTTTGAAATCACTGAACACAATCGTTTTCATGAGGTACCGTTGACCCCAATGAGGCCACAAGCACTTAATTCTCGGCTACCGTCCAATTCCCTGTCGGGTCACGCGGCTGACGTGGTCTGCGTCTCAGGAATACCCCAAATAGCCACATTTACTTGAACATGCATGAATGATATTTGCTTTCGCGGCAGTGAATATAACAAAAAGTGGCCAATGTTTGGTCAGTGTCCTACTGTCCTAGTGATGGAAAACCAAAACAATGTCTGCTCACCGTTATACAATTGTTAGTTTCAACTCACTTTCTGTGCCTCAGAGGCTCACAGTTTTTCCTTTCCGCCTCCACCCCCGCCTTCTCATAATTTTGAACTCAGAGAACCAAATTGTACTCATGAGGTACCGTCGACCCCAATGAAGTCGCAAACACTCC